GGGCTGGCTATAAAGTGAGCCTTCCCCCCGGAAGAACGGCTATATAGTGAAACTTCCGTGGGGGAGGTCTCACTATATAGCCATTCTTCCGGGGGTAAGGCTCACTATATAGCCAGCCTTCCGAGGGGAAGACTCACTATATAGTGGGCCTTCCGGGGGAAGCCTTACTATGGGGGAAGTCTCACCATACGACACCGGGAATTGGCTAATGAGATGGACTCAAAGGGGGGATTACAAATGGGAAAATGTGCTTAATCAAACAAAAGTCTAATACATACTTGTCTTTAGAGAAGTGGACGTCTGCCTTTATCATTTTCTCCAGCGTTCTTCTGGAGAAATACCGCACTAGGGCACAAGAGCTGCTAAAGTAAATGCGTGACATTCGTCTCGCTGCATCAAGGTCTGCGGGTTGGTTTAGGTACGATGAACAAATTAGATTAAGAAAGGCTTCCGACCCCCATTCATCATGGGGCCAAATCATTAGTGAGTTTTGGTTACTTCATATCACCAATTCTAACGTCACATACAATTCAGAGCCAATACCCAAATCTCGTATGCTCCCTTACAATCAGCAAAACAGGCCACATCTACAAATGACTGCAATATTTATAACAGTGGTAAAAAATGTCAATTCTCCCTCAATTGTAGGTTCAGAGACACTTGCAGGTTGTGCAGCGGGACCCATCCAGCAATCAACTGCAGAAAACAACAGTCCAACTATCAATTACCCAGTCCCGCCTAACATCAATGTTTACAAACTGGGCAGCACACCAATCAAAATAACTCCACTGCAAACATTTTAGAAACATACAAAGAGAAAGAATTTTTGATAATGGTTTTCAATATGGTTTTCAATTTCAATACAATGGCCCCAAAAGACTCAGACAAGCTAAGAATTTAAAAAAGTGCATATCAGCACCCTGATATTATTCACCAAAAAATCAACAAAGAATTAGCTCTGCAAAGAATAAGTGGCCCTTTTCAGCATCGCCCTTTCCCAACACTTCAGATTTCAACTCTAGGACTTGTACCTAAAAAGATGGGGATTTCAGACTTATCCATCACCTATCATACCCAGAAAATGACTCCATCAATTATTACATAGATCAGTCAGCTTGTTCACTTCATTACTCTCACATTGACGATGCAGCAGCCATGATAGCCAAAATGTGGGGTTCGGAATCTTTTTCTCTGGAAGTTGGGCTTATTCAAAATGGCGACAAGAGTGAGTGCAATCCGAAATTATCCGATATGACAAGGGCTTTCTGGAGGACTGCGTTAGATTGATATCTTCTTAAAAGGTTTTAAGTTAATATACCGGTATATTAAGCGAACTGTATGGACAAACTCACAGGTGCTTGGGGACAGCCCCCCCCCCCTCCCGTGTTCCGTACCTCAAGGATTCTTTGACTTTTTTAATAAAATATTTTTCTATGATAGAGCAAATCGCAAAATACCTAAAGGATTACATTGTTTGTGACGAGCTGACGCTTTGCTTGTCGAGAACTTTAAATACTACGTCACATTCTCGCCACATCAAAGGAAATAGCCGAGATAGCGTCTCTCCCACGCTAAAGTCGGTCAGCTGCAATACACATCGCCGACGTTTAACGGGTTTACAAAAGGGGACAGAAAACGCAAATCTTATTAAACATTTTAAAAAGAGCATTACTTATATTATATGCATTTTTTAGAGTCCATAATAAATCAAAGCCGTGAAAATTTAATTTTATAGCATTTACCATTTGTGTATATGGCACGGTATACATGCGATATAAAATGATGTACATGATCAATTTAAATTGCTGGATTTTTTAAGTATTTGTCCTGGTCATTCTTGGATTGTGTAGTATTTTAATTGTTTCAAATCACTAGTACTGTTGATGTGAAATGATTTTTCTGTGGAAAAGAGATATATTCCGTTTATGTATCAAACCATGAACTTGAGACTTGAGAACTAAGTATACATAGATTTTTTTTTTTACATGTATACCCCAAACAGCCGTATTATACCAGTATAATATGTACTTGTACTTTATGTATCCATATATAAAAGAACATTTCTGTCAAGAAGAGAAGTATGCCTATTCACAATTGTCAATAATTATGTCAAAATACCAAATTAGAACGGGTGCATAGTTTTGCTTTAAAATATACACACATGTATAAAAGCTCTCTCTCTCTCTCCAGGAAACGTTTCAGTGGCTGATTATATATGTATTTCACTCTATTGCATCAGTGATGTTTAAAATATGATCAGGTATTTTCGTTAATTTAGCACTCAGTCTCTGATTTTTTAATTATCAGTAAGCACACATTAAATCCATTCTGATTGATCATATACGACATACATGCACTGCTGCAGAAATTTTAAATACTGTGCATTATGCAGAAAAGTACTCAAAAGCACATTTTCGCAATCCTTTATAAAACTGAGATTTCTGTAAGAACATGTAAATACCTATAACAGGGAACCCATACTGAGCACTACGTACGCAGAGTTTTTGCAAACAGCAACATATCCTCCATATATTGGGGGGGGGGGGGGGTTGAATAGAAAAAAACAGGGTGCGATTTCAGCAACTGTGGGACAACTTTATCGAATGCTAAGACAACTTTTAATAATTATGCGATTTAATGAATATTTATATTGTACTAACGCAGTGGAACTACAAGAGGCCCATGGGCTACATCGCTTACCTGAGCACCGTGAATAAGAAAATAGCAGAAATCAGCTCAGTATTGAAAGTTTAAATCCATAATTGGTCCCAATCTACCTTTAAAGGAGATAGGATTATATGTGAACAAACTTGAATCTACACTTCTTGAAATTTTCTCCCATATGTTTCAACATTCTTGGCACTGTGTTTCTTGAGGTAATTTTTAAAACATGTCATCAATTGCAAATTTTCACATTTTCTGAATTATCTCCTCTAAGAAGTCGCCCTTCATTTGAATAGACTTGAATACCGTTTACCAAAAAATGCATTGTGGCAAGATTGGTTAACATTGGCCCAGTGGTTCTAGAGAAGAACTCGAAAATGTGAAAAGTTTAAGGACGGATAAACAGACGTCGGGAAAAATGTGATCAGAAAAGGTCACTTGAGCTTTCAGCATAGGTGAGATAATAAAGACCAATTGATATTAACTTTGTTGTGTTACATACAGCACAGACAAGTAATTGGCGACAAAAGTGTAAGGGGGAGGGGATATGCTCTCGTTTAAATCCGATTCGTTTTTCCCTTCAAATACGTTAGATCTGACGGGCGCATAACATAAGGGCCAGCCCTCGACCCACCCTACTTTTTTTTCGTTTCAAACATATTGTTCGAAAGGTTCATTGAAAGGCTTTACGTTTTAATTAAGATACTTTACAACCGCTTAAGTAAACAGTTTCATGTTATTTAGTACATGTATATACTAAAAATATCAATTCGTGAAAATTATTGTGCATTTATTTTTAATTTTTTTCGAGAACAGTCTATTAATTTTTCAAAATCTGCCAGGCCCATCTCTAGGAATTAGATTTAGACTTTTTGACATAGGCGTCGAAACCGGGCGAGCGGAGAGTGGGGGGAGGGCTTTTTCAAAGTTAGGCTTAGTATAGACATTGAACATTGCTGCGTAGGTATACCCACGAAATAGGAGTTTTGTGTTTGGAAATACACATCCCTTGTTTTTGTTTGTGTGTGTGTGTGTGTTGTTTTTTTTCTTTTTTTTTTTTTGCTTCTCACTAAAGAAAATTTCTTACTCTTAGCCCCCACTTTAATTTGCTTCCGACGCCCATGATAATTAGGAAATTAAACGAGACTTACCTTGGTAAAGGCGAAGTTTGATTCCAATTATTGGAGTAAATAAAAGGCACTGTAGAGATAAGGTGAATAGTACTGCGCAGCCGCCAAGTCATTGCTTCAAAGCTAAAATTTTTTGGGTTGATAGATTTGCAACAAAACATCAAACCCAAATTCATTTCACTAATAATTTCAAACAATACATTCACCACCTGCAGGGTGGGAGGGAGGCACCTTATCTCTACAGTGCCTTTTATTTACTCCAATAATTGGAATCAAACTTCGCCTTTACCAAGGTAAGTCTCGTTTAATTTCCTAATTATTTTTCGTAAACGTCACTTCCGAGATAATGTGAATCTTTAAAGCACAACACAAAAAATTTTTCAAACTGAAATCAAATTCTTTATTTTAATTTCAAAACAGCATTTGCATACTTATCATCATTCAGCACAGGTTTGTCATAAAACTTTCTGAAGGTTTCGACATTAGACCAACCTACTTTGGACAAAATATCATCAACAGGAACAAAGTTCTCTTTTGCTTTAGATGCTGATGCAGATCTAACACTATGAGCCTTAAAAATAGTAGTATCAACCCCTGCAGAACACATCACTGTTCTTATCCAACAGGCAACAGTATCTCTTGATACTTCCTTGTGTGGTTGTACATAACTGATAAAAAGTGAATCACACTTATTTCTAATTCTTGCAGTCCTTGATAAGTATTCACATAAAACAATATATACACAAAGCCTTCTATCTGGAGGATACGATTTCAAAACCATGTCAGACATACTACTGTTAGGTCTACATGTTTTCAATAAATCACTAAAAGTAAAAACAAAGCTATTTCTTCTTCTCGTCATGTTACTAAGTTTCATGCATGAAATAGTTTGTACTCGACTTGCACAAATTAAACTAATTAACATAACTAACTTCAGTGTCAAATCTTTCAAACTTAAGTATTTTACAGGTGACAATTTTCTCAAATACTTGATAACAATAGATGCATCCCAAGTATGTACATATCGAGATTTTGATGGTCTCAAATTAAAAACACCCTTCATAAATCGGATAACAAGTGGATGACATCCAACAGTAAACCCATCAAAAATCAGTCCAACAGAAGATAAAGCCCCTCGGGCAGTATTAATAGCACTATACCCTAAACCTAGGCGAAAAAGATGTGCTAAAAATTCAATAACAGTTTCTATAGTTGTACAAAATGGATCAATCGATTTTTCACTACAGTACTGAAACCATCTCGTATAAAATGTTTTATATTGTTTCTTGGTTCCCGACTTCCATGATGCCAAAAGGATCGAGGCTGCTTGATGAGAAATTCCTCGTTTTTGGTACTGCAACCGGACAATCGACATGCCATCAGCACCAACGAGTCTTTCAGAGGATGCTGCACATCTGTGCCTGGAAGTGTCAACAGATTGTCCATCACAGGTAAAATCACCGGATGATCCACCAGTTTTTCTAACACACGATTGAACCATGGCTGTGTTGGCCACACTGGAGCCACCAGTACACACTCTGCTTGGTCCTGACAAATCTTCCTCACCACACGTCCAATGAGGCTGAAAGGAGGGTTAAGATAACCATAAATGTTTGCCCAAGAAAAACTAAATGCATTAACATAACGGGCATCTGGATCTGGATGCCAAGAACAATATACATCAATTTGCTTATTCAACCTTGTAGCAAACAAATCAATTTCAGGTTGTCCCCATCTTAAAACAATTTTATGGAACACAGATTTGCTCAACATCCATTCTATTTGATCATCAAATTTTCGCGACATCATATCTGCTATCAAATTATCTTTGCCAGGTATGTGCCATGTACTTAACCACAGATCCCTATTCATACTCCATAGCCAAATTTCTTTTGCAAGTTTATCACATTTTTTAGAACTAATACCACCCATGTTATTGATGTAGGAAATAGCTGTGGTATTGTCCATAAATAATTTGACATTTTTATTTGTTACATCAGAACAAAAGCACTTTAACCCAAAAAAGCAGGCTAATAATTCTAAGTAATTGATATGATTTTCAGATTCATCTGTTGTCCATCTACCCCCTGATTTCAATTCATTCATAACAGCACCCCATCCAAGATGAGAAGCATCAGAAGTTATTGTAAGATCATAGGGTTCATGCAAAATTCTTCTAACTGATGAAGAAATATTAGAAATCCACCAATCTAATTCTAATTTCATTTCTTTTGTTATAAACATGAAAGCATCATAGTCATGTTGTGATTGTACAAGTGCATCAGTTTTTGCTCTTTCCATATCACGATAAAACAGCTGACCAAATTCTACTGCTGAAAAACTAGCCACGACCAGTCCAATGACCTTTGCAACTTCTCTAATTTTTTCTCTTGATTTTGTTTGTAATTTTTTACATGCCTCTAAAATAGATTCCTTTCTTTCTTCAGTAAGATAAACTATCATCAATTCAGAATCAATAACATTTCCTTAAAGAAAATGATTTTTGTACTAGGTGTGAGAACAGACTTCTCATAATTGACTACAAACCCTAGACTCTCTACTAGGGCTAAAGTTTCAGAAACATGATCTAAACACTCTTTAATACAATTGCCAATCAGTAACGAGTCATCAATATACCCAATAATGACATGTCCTAGTCTTCTAAGTGTTGCAAAAACAGGCTTCAGTAGTTTTGTAAAGAGTCTAGGTGCACTAGCTAACCCTTGAGCGAGACAAGTATACTGATAAATCTTATTTTTCCATATGAATCTAAGAAACTTTCTATGTTCCTCTGCCACACTGACACTATAGTATGCATTGCTAAAGTCAACACTAGCAAAATAACAACCTTGAGTCACTAAATCAAGAGCACTCTCAAAAGTATCCATTTTAAAATGGTGATACACAATGTTTTTGTTAAATTCTTTCAGGTTCAAAATGACTCTATAACTACCATTCTTTTTAGGTCTAGTGAAAACAGTGGAAATGAAACCATCACTAAGGTCTACATTTTCAGACAATTCTTCAATTACATTCATATCTAATAAAGATTTAATTTCTTTGTCAATCACACATGATTCAGCTGAACTAAAACGTGGCTCAAAAGGTTTTGAATTTTGTACAGGAATTTTATCATCTTTAAATTCCAAGTGACAACCTTTCACAATATCTAATATACTTTTATCTGATGTTAAATCTTTCCATTCAGAAATGAAATTTTTCAGTACACCTGCTCTAAATTCACATACCTTTTCAACTACTTCTGGAGGCGACTCTGCAAGCCTCTTCGCTGGTAGTTTTTTGAATCAGATGAGAAGGATGCAGCATTCGAGTAGGATCCACGACCCCTTGCAGCTCCTCGGACAAAGCGTCCACGTGATCGTCCCCTCATAAAGCGACCACGGAAGCTCCCTCTATATCCGATACCAATTTTGTTGCTGATTTTGGAACAATCTGTGATGTCTTTTACAGTTTTAGGGACATCGTCGCCAAACAAATAGTCTGTATACTTTAAATTATGACTACAAAGGTGAGTATATTCACCCTTCATATCAGGTTTCATAAATTCTCTACGCAACATACACAACTGTCTGTTGGCATGCCCCATCAATGCCAATGATTCCATAGCATTTCCCAAAAGGTCTAAAATCTCAGGATTGTCACACTTGCCGAGCAAATGAGTCAGTTTAGTGAGTGCACAAGCACCCTTGATCAACGAAGTCTGAACATTTTGCATCTTCTTATCGGAAGATTTTGTAGTTGGGCTCAAAAAATCCCAAACCATTTGGTTAGTTTTCACAGTCACTAATGCTGAACAGTTTTCAGGACGATTTGTCGTTTTTAGAAGCTCATTATATCGTTCTTCCTCGATTCCCTCTCGGAACCAATCTGTCACGAGATTAGCTAGTTCATCATCAATAGGTTTATCACAAGTCTCTTTAACTTTAAGTTTCTTACCGGCATTTACGTACTTGTTGTCCGTATCATTCAGAATCTCGTCTAATGCGCGCTTCCTCGAAGCCGCTTCACCGGAAGTACCCGGTTCGTCCGGGGTATCGTCCTGACGATCTTCATATTCTTGGTAATCATAATCATACAGATTTTCTAGCTCTGTCATACGATCGTCTTGTTTCTTTTGATTCTCTTGAATCGCTTTTAATATGTTGCGAATCTCATTCTCGTTATTTGGCGCGGAACTATCATGTCCTCCGCCATGACCACGAGAACACGTGGAAGTGCCAGTCGAAGTCGACGAACTCGACGACGAACGTAAGTTAGACGGTGTCTTCTCCGAAGACGATGATTTGTTCGGGGCTTTTTTCTTTCCCTTGACCGGTGCTTTATCATCGTCAGGGTTAGCATGGTTAGGAGCGTCCGCCATGACGCACGTGGTTTGAACTTTCAAAACCGATGAAAAAATATCTGACCACGTCAGACGAAATCGCCCCCGAATACTGATCTGACCACGTCAGAAACAAAATTGAACTCTGAAAAAGTTCTAAGAAGATATTGACCTCGTCAATATGTAAAAATATATCAAAATTGATCGAGCAAGTGAGACCACGTCTACTCGCTCCGGCTACTTGCAGTTCAATGACTTGGCGGCTGCGCAGTACTATTCACATTATCTCGGAAGTGACGTTTACGAAAAATAATTAGATATTTTCCGTCGTTTGGTATTAATTACCTTGTACATACAACATTCGTTAAAACTTAAAAATAAATTGAACTTCAATCGTTAAAATTTGAAGGTAAATGGACACGTCTCCCCCGGCCTTCCCTCTTTATCTTTTCTCTCGAATATACGCATAGAGAGTATATTTTGTACCAAATTGCAACAATTTCAGCGTGCATGACTTGGGTTGATACGCGTAACTAATAAATCTAATGATCAATGAATCATGCACTACTCTACTTTTATACTTAATCGCAAATATGAAAAAAAGTAAATTTTGCGATAATAGAATAAAATAATCGACCAATTAAAATATTCGTAATGGACTGAAAAAAATCTTTATATTTTTAAATTCAAGGTTTAAAAAAAACTTTTTTGTAATTCAAGGTTAAAAAAAAACTTTAAACTTTGCAGGTAACATTCAAGAAAACGACATCGGGACTGTCTACTCCATTTTTTGAACCCCGAAAACAAGCTGTATGTTGCAGCTGACCGACTTTAGCGTGGGAGAGATGCGATCTCGGTTACGTCCTTTGATGTGGCGAGAATGTGACGTAGTATTTAAAGTTCTCGACAAGCAAAGCGTCAGCTCGTCACAAACAATGTAATCCTTTAGGTATTTTGCGATTTGCTACACTACATTACTAATAAATAAATTCCTAAAGATATGCTCTTTACGTGACATATTCAAACCCCAAGCGAACTGTATGGACAAACTCACAGGTGCTTGGGGACAGGAACCCCCCCCCCTCCCGTTTTCCGTACCCCAAGGATTCTTTGACTTTTTTTTTAATAAAATATTTTTCTATAATATATTTCCAAAGTATTACAACTGAAAAATCCAAAATTTCAGCTAAAACTAGCCCTTTATTAAAATTCACCCTCACTGAGCAGTTCTGTTATAGTATCAGTGAGGGTGAATTTTAATAAAGGGTTAGATTTAGCTTAAGGATGTACAACACACCTACCCCAAAAAATTCCTGTCGTTTAATTTTCGTTATTTTTGTATATTTAGTACATGACTATATCTACTGCATGCATGCATATTTTGGACAAAATCGTTCGAGTGGTTTTTGGACAGGAACTTCCGAAAGTTACCCCCCTTTAGTTGTTTACAAGGAGAGAAAATTTTTAATCAATGAACTACTTAAACCTTGATTTTCAAAAAAACCAGGTTGGATATAAATGTCAAATTTCATTGGCTTATTCCTTTAACCATTTAACACAAAAACATAGTCATCTTTTTGATATACATATCATCAAAACAATTTTTAAAGACCTTAAACTGAAAAACTATGAATTTTCTAAGCCTTGAAAATAGCGTATTTTTCAAATTCAAAATTTTTTTGTGAAAAAACCTGTCGTTTAATTTTGGTAAAAAACTTTCTTTAGGTAGCTGGTAGTAAATATAATCTTCATAATTTTTTGTATAATTTTTGTACGACCAGTTTTGATTTAATAGCGGAAAATTACCCCCTCCCCCTTTCTCAATAAATCACGTTCCCGCGCGTCTTTCAGACGGGGGTCGATCACTATGCTATGAATCTACAAATACACATTAAAAAAATTAAATTAGAATATTGCTTTTGCTTGAAAAGTATATTAACTTACAAATTTAAAAGTTCTCATATGTAAAATGTATGTTAAATGTAGATTTTTAGGCAATTGTCGAATACCCCTATCACCCCCACCCCTTCCTTTTTTGCGTCGCAGACCATTAGCGTTTGACGAAACGTCGTTTACAGTGCAAATATACTGGTATTTCGTCAAGAATCCCGGAGGTATGCATTAGTTTTTAAATTCATGAATGCAGAATAAATATTGACTACTCTTTTTATATGTACCAGGAAAATATTACTGAACGATTTTAGTGTTTAGTCCATATACGTATGCATTATGCATTCCATATCACATGAAACCTGGATACGAATTCAAGTTTTGTTGAACGTGAATATCTTTATTTTTAATTTTATTTCTTTAATTTTATTAATTAAAAAACATGAAAAATGGTGTATGCTCAACTCTCCTGTGATATAAATGGAATAATTGTAGTTTCTTTCATGTCATTATTTCAAACGAGACAGTATGTGGCCGTGGGGATATATCGACATTTGCATTAGATGTACATACACCCCTCATGATATTGTACGCATTTCTTTCAATGTCGTCGCTTCTAAAGTTAAAATGAAAATTCCGCATTCGTCCACATTAACTTCAAAATATCAAACATTAAACTCTTCATGTATTTCAATTTATATCAAATCGCACATTGATATTTTTAAAAATCTTATAGGCTACGTTTTGTTTTGATTCGAGGAAATGCGAACCGACATTGTTGACAGAAAGTCAAAGTTACGACTTGCTGCAATAGGATATTCATAAATGCAGATAATTCCAGTACAAGTGAACAATTCTTTTCAATTCTATACTTACATTGTATATATGAGGTCTATAGTAATAAATTCTCGAATCTATCAGGTCTTGCTATAAATGTATCTGATTCTGTGGAAAACCGTGAATAAAGGGAGGAAAATAAACATCTCCTACATTTTCAGAGTTGTTCCTCTTTGATCAGTAAGGGTCTAAGAACAACATCGATTTTACTTTGTAAAAAGTTTTTTGTTCATTTACTGTTGTTTTATTTAATTAAAGAAGAAAAACAATACATGCATTTATATCGTGTATGCACAAATTGTAATGAAGATCATTAATCGGAATGTTATATAGCCAATTGTACATAATGAGAATTTCGGCAATGTAAAATAAAATTTTCAGAATAAAAAAAAAT